TGGGGTCGTGGGCAGGAATCGTTGTTGGCAGTGAAATTTCTGCAAAACCTGTAAATGTTTGTCAAGATAAAACCCCATATGACACGATACACAGTCTACTGGTAGTTAAGTGGGGTCCTTTTCTATACTGTTGCCGGGTGTTCTAAACCGTCAGTACGTTGTCTTGGGAACAACGTGATCACAAAGTGGACGACGCCAAAGTTGCCTAGGGCAGAACGGGGCATATTGGCCACTCTGGAAGCGCATTTACGTTGCCTAATTTCCTGGATGCCTATGACGGAAAATGTTTGATACGCTGACAACCGAACCTAGTCTTACCTCCACCCGCCTGACAGGCTTGGTCGAGGCAATATTGTATGAACACCGAACCTGTAGATGTCCCTTTCCTTTTGTATGATTATTCCTCCTAGCTACTTCCAGCCTGACATGTTTAAAACTATCTTGAGACGCATCTGTCATTGACATCTTAGTTGGTAATTCCGTCTTTCTTTTGAACGAGATAAGACCTGTAGTAGCTTTTTTTGAATGTGTTCTTCACGGCACCTGTTAGGTCTATCAGTTCGGCGACCGTGTGAGCACGCGTTGGGCAATATCATCACGCCCTGCCAGCTACGGAGCCAAATTTCGCCTACGACTGCCATACTTCGACAGATCTACTTAAATGTGAGATGTAATATAAAGTATGACAGTTCCATTTTACATTTTATGTAGTGTTATCTCACTGTAAACAAACCACAGCGCTATTGAACAGGTCGAATTTGTTAATAATCTGAGCTTGAAAGACTGCCAACTGACGGTATGACGGACTTCGCCGGCAGACTGAGGGTTAGGCTGTAATGGCTATTTAGCTGGCGACCTTGGTGGCAAACCACTTCGATGAGAATAATTCGTACGATTTTCGACGACGAGCGCGCGTGTGGTACGCACAGAAGGACTTGCTGTCTTTTTCAGCTGACGTACCCCCCTCAAATCCAGTTTCATTAATGGGAAAGGCGAGTGAGGGACTGTGTGGTATGTTATGTAAGCACCCTCAACTATAATTATCACTCCAGCATCCGCACCGGAGACTGCCGTCCATGTAATGGTCCGAGTTTCTGACTGCCATTAGGTTTCGACAGGAAGGAAGTGCAGTGCAGACCGCTGGCGAATCAAAACTTGCCAGAAAGTGATTACCTTGGGGAAATCCGCCTCACGTGTCATCCTCCCGAGGCAAGCCAAACATGCTTTCTCCTCTTTGCAAGTTTGGGGAGAGGGGGGCGGACGGCTGTCGGGAGATTGACGAACAACACTCACAGTCACCCTCACGCGCCTACATCAGCAAAACCCATTTGCCCAAACAGTTGGATAACGCCTGTTGCAGGCAAGATTACTGTCCCGACTGATTGGCTGGTGGAATTACACGACCCTGTCTCTGATGGCAAGCACGCCCTAGGAATAATGCCGTGCAGAGGATAAACAGGAAGAAATGCGATCACGAGAGGTACTACGCGTGTGGCAGAACGTTCGCCGAAATGGGCCTTCCGTTGATGCCAGTGACAAAGATCTGACGGGAAGCTTAAAATCAGAGGAAGGCACGGATAACAATTTAACTCGAATTAGGCCTGGTTGCAAATGAATAAATTGTTTAGTACACGTTTTAAATTGGTCGGCCAGATGAGTCAGTCAAAGTTGAAAAATTCATGAAAGTTTAAGGACTGTCCATAATTAGCTCCATTACTGAGGCTGCCATTTAAAGCAATATGGGGAAAGGAGGTCAAATCAAAGGCTGTTGATCAGGATGGAAGCACTTTGTCCAACTGCTGTATGCTTTTGCACTTGATATTGGACGGACAATTGGATGGGCGCAGGAATATGTTTATACTTCAAGAAGATCAACCGACTACGTAAGAAATCGGGCCGTTTTGCTTAAAGTTACGATATCACCTGGTTGATTGAAATGGCCAGAAAGTCCTAAAAGATTGTGAATGAAAGTACTTAGGAAAAGCATGGGGAGTGGAAAACGGAACCAGAGTGTGAATACGAGAGATTTTTTTATGAGTCAAGAGAAATAAGCATGCGTTTGGGCGTCGTTTTCGCGGACGAAAATCTCTCTAGCTTTGTTTGTCAGACGAAACGCAATCGAGACATTCGGATTATGGTTAGATAATACAGCTGTAAATGGTGTGTTGACGGCAAAAGTCAGTTGAATTAAGGTTGCTGGTCCGTCAGACTGTCATCGAAAACACATTTAAGTGTCCACGACGGGTTGGAATGATATTAGAACCGCAATCTGCTTTCTGAGACGAAGTCAAAACTGGACTGAAACAATCTGAGAGAGGGCTCGACGGCTCTCTGACGCGGCCTTGCGTCTACCCAGGGCAAAATCCTGCAGGAAGTGGTTTTTAGTGGCGCGTATGTGTAGAAATGAATAGTTCCTAAGCTTGCGTTTCCAGTTCGGTGGGCCTGACTAGTGTGAATGCTGGAGTTAAAACTGTGAAATCGATAATAATAATATAAAAAGTGTTCATACATTTTCTGCTCAGTGCATATACTAAGGTAAAAATTTTAATTCGCGTATATCGATCGTCTTATTGAACTATGCCACCGACGGAAAGTGGTGAAAATTGGGAACTGAACATTGCACAATATCCGGAATTCTTGACTAACCAGTCTTCACTTACAGGTGTTGATTTTCTTCCGTGGTGTACCTGCGCACTATTTATGTAATGTACACCGGACAGCCAAATTTAAACATGATTTTCTAGACTCCATCGCGGTTGACGGTAACGAAGGCTTTCGTTAGATCGACGAAACTGATCTTGAAGTTGGTCCTCTTGTACTTGTATATGTGGAAGTCAGTAGAGTACTCTTCTTTTAGATCAATCTCTCATTAAATTCTTTGAAATTTATAGAGATTCTCTGGGAAAACATCCGTACCCTGTCATCGACTGCCATAACGAAATTTATTTGGTAGCTTCGCAAAACCACGTACGATATAGTTTGAACATCTGAAAAGATGTATTTGTAAGAAAATTTAATCCACATGCAGTTCCTTCTCTGTTTGAGTTTTAAAAAACGCACTAAATTTAACTCAAGCTGAAATTACCCCTCTCATGGGAGTCTGACACCAGTGTCTTAGACCACGTGACCGAAGACGCAACGGTTTCACTCTGATGATTTCGCTATTTTAAGCCACTTTGAGCATTGACGGGCAGGACTAATTTCGGACGGCGAAAACTAGCAACAAACGCTTTTAAAAGTGCTCACAAACAGATTGCGTTTACCAGTGTTGTGCGCTTGGCTATTGTGAACGTTGAAGTTTAAACTGCGGAACTGATAATAATAATATTATTAAAAATGTTGATGGTTTTCCTAATCACCGCATAAAATAAGATAATAATTGCAATTTCCATAGGTTCGCCGGCCTTGCACGCTCTTTCCACAGATGAAAGGGATAAAGATGGAGCACTGAAGATTCTTCACTGCTCGGGTTCTCTGTATCTTACTAAAAATTACTTACATTGGTTCTGTTCTCTACCCTGCATCTACAGAAAAAGATTAGATCGGGCCTTCTGCGTCAAATTGTTCTAAGAAGTCGTCACCCTCTCTCTCATTAATACGCCATAGCCTCAACACCCTGTTGTGCACTTATTCATTTAGACGGTTTTATGTGAATCTTGCCAAGTTAGTTAGAAGAGGGGCCAAAAGATTGGCTGGGCGATTCCTGGAGAAACCTGACACCTGATTTTATTCGGTAGAAAATCACGTCTTCTTTCAATTTCATACTCAAAAGAAGAGTATAATTCGGTTTTAAAAAAGTTTCTAATTGTGAGATTTTTTAATACCGTTAAATGGCCGTTCATGGAACGTCATGTATCTGCATTTACGAATGTGGCTTGCAAAGTTAACAATATTACTCAAACCCACTGCTTAATTTTACGAACCTCATATCGTCTCCTCTTAACACCGTAGAGAAATGCATGGTTTTCCGTACACGGAAAATATACAGCTTGTAGTTTTGAAACCCTGAATGCAAGTGTAACAGTAAGTTGGGTTCAATATTATTCGGCAATTTGAAAAGTTTTTTAAAACTGAATTATACTCTTCTTTTGAGTATGAAATTGAAAGAAGACGTGATTTTCTGCCGAATAAGTAAAAGAATGAATATTTTTATGCATGTTTTTCATGAAATATAATTGCATTTTTAAGGACATCGAAAATCAATGAGAAAATTGCATGCTACTTAAGTAGTCATTTTTTGCACAGTATAGATCTTGCATGCAGCCGAAAATAAGTTCTTTCGAAAGCCGACACCCTGAGGTAACTGGATCATTATAGATTTATGCTGCATCATGATCAGTTTTACAACACTACTTAATTTATCTTTTCGAAACGAGAACGCATTCCGAAATTTTGGTTGATATTTCATGAGTTAGCACATCTACTGTATCTGGCATATCCAAACCACATTTGCCCAAAGCCCCTGTTGCACGTAAAATTGCCGGCCACGGATTGGCCGGCTGTATTGCATGAAGGTGAAAACTGAACATTGTGCCAGACGACAATCTCTCACCTTCCAGAATCTGTTTTGTTCGCAATCCAACGTGTGCTAATCAGGCCTGTTGTTAGTTAATGGAATTGGTTGTGCGGCAACGGTATAGAGAAGGATCCAACTTAACTATCAGTGGACTGTGGATCGTGTCATGTGGGGCTTCATCTTGAAATACACTTGCAGGCTGTTGCAGAAACTACATTGTCAACAGCGATTACTTTCCACAACCTCACATCTTAAATCAAAGTCCGTTATTTTGAGAAATGTACCTTTTATTCGTTGTTTAATTACAACTTTCATTTCTGTTGTCGTAGGATAAGATTTGCGGCATAAATCCAGGCAACTTCTTTGTTTTCTTTCATTTTTTAGCTTGCGTCTAGTGTGCTGCCTCACCCATAAAACTATCTTTACCATAAATCACGTATGGCACGATCCACAGTCTACTGACAGTTAAGTGGGGTCCTTCTCTATGCCCTCCTCCTCCTCCTCCTCCTCCTCCTCCTCCTCCTCCTCCTCCTTCTTCTTCCTCCTTCTCCTCCTCTTTCTTCTTCCTCTTCTTTCCGCACTCCTAATTCGCCCTAATCCCGCTGTTTTGCCTCCTGCTATGGGTCTTGCGTGGATGTTACAGGGTTTAAATACGACGGAGCCCGGGGGGTGCGAAAGATTCCCGAAAAGACCACGCGTCTGTTTGCATATGCAGGGCATATTGACTTGCAAAATTGCGCTAACCTCACCAAAGAAGCGGTTTTACATTGAATGGAACACAGGTCGTAGGGCAGTGCCGTGTTCTGAATGAGGGGTTAAATAGGAATAGATGGAGGTAATGTACTCAAATGTCCAGAGGTATTTTGACGAAATGGATCAACTCGAGAAGTTGGCAAGATCTTATTTCGAAGCCGTACCTGTCACGGGTAAGGCATTAAGTGTTAGCGTTATAGGTTGGGGTTAGGGGTCAGAGTAACGTGTTAATGTTGGTGGTTAGGGTTAGGAGTTAGCGGTTATGGTAAGAGGTTGGGATTAAGCATTAGGCGTCGGACTGGGGCATGTCTACTGCAGGCACGGCTACGAAATGGGATCCGACGAGAAGTTATTCGAGGAGCACACACCAGCTTTCATCGCTTTGACAGAAGCATGGTCTTCTGAAGCCATTGAAGAACATGAGGTATGCATCTGAATTTACAAACACTTCAGAAGAGACGGGAAAAGGCGAAGAGTAGGCGATCACTGTTCATGTAAACTCTCATTTACCCGCACTCTCCTAGCAAAACTCCACACCGGAAGGGGAATTTTTATGTTCCAATATATCCTCGCGGTATCTAACCTTTACGGTTAAATACTGTCCGCATACCAGATTGTCGAACAGTATGCTTGAACCCGAAGGTTGTGCTTGTTGGAGATTTCGAGCTTTCAACGTTGGCTGACAAGGTTGGACTGTTTTAGGTCGAGCGGGCACATTCGGCCCTTATTTTCTCGAGATGGCAACGGAAAGGCTACTGTACTCTAACACTCGGGGGCATGTTCAGGAAGGACAACGTCCAGAATTCCTATACCTTGTGATCACCAAAGATATAGAAAGTGTTCTGAACCTACAAGATCTCCCATCAAGGGGTTCTTGTTATTTGATTTTCTTCGAATATTCCATTTTCTGTTAGCTTATATCATCCAATCAATTAAAACACAAATTTGGAATAGAAACGTCCTACAGATTTTGAGGCCACTTTCAGCAATTTCGTGGGTAATTACATTGGAGGAACAGGTAACGAATAGCAAACTTCGTTCAGTGCGTTTGTGAAATAATTATTTATCCTTTTTTCCCCACACAGGCGTAAGACACCCGACATGGATAAGTGGGAAAATTCGGACCGCCTTTAAACGAGAGAATAGGACGTGGAAGCGTTTTCGACTAGCAAAGGATATCAAGCATTTGCAAAAGTGCAAACGATAAAAGCATATCAGTAAACAAGGGCTAATAAACTTTCCAGAAATCATGGGTTAAACGTACTGAATTACACTTTGGAAACCTCAAAGCTCCTATGCAGTTACACACTTAATAACGAAATAAATTACGACTCGATTCCGGCTCCGAGGTTCGCAGACGAACATTAAAGATGACTAACAAAGCGAAAACACCAGCCCTCTGTAACTTCTTTCAGTCGTCACTCACTACTGCTGAACTCCCCTCTCCCTACATAGAATAACGGCAAGATTCAGCTTCATTTGTACCAGAAGATACTTATTGCTTCTCACCTATATCGATAAGGGTAGAATTCCTCCAACTTAAGTCTGTCAAGGCATGTGGTCTAGATCGAATTCATCCCTTTGCTGAATGCTGGAGTCGGCAGCGGTGGCTGGCAGAGTTAACAACAGACCGTCTGCGCGTGCCACACATATTCACATCTCCGGACACCTCTCTTGTAGCTGGCGGAGGCGAGGACCACGTTAATGGTTCAGCCGAGGCGATAGAAGCCACACCGACTTTCCAAAGGAAGTCCCTGCTCTCAACACCCATCAGGACGATTGAAAAGGATGCAAACGAGAATCTCCCCAACGATGTTGAAGTGCGAGTTTTTTTCCAAGATTGTCACCTGGGTAGGTTCCCTTGCCGCCGCTTGTAGAGATGAAAGACAGTCGCTTCCTTGGAGTCCTAACGAACTTTTCCATAACGTCACATCTATCGGAATATAATTGTTCATCACCACGTGACCGCCGTGCACATAAACCTCTTCCAGAATCGCAAAGAATCTGGGTGTTTTCCCACTAGAGATTTATTGCACGACTTTGATGATTTCTGAAAGAGAAGTCTGAAACTCTTAATTTCTGTTCGCCTTCATTTAGAGAGTTGCTTAATGGCGCCGTCCGAGGTTGTGAGCGTGTGGTTGAAGGCACTCATAAAGTGTCCGACCCGAGGCTACGGAATTTGCGGTGGCATCCGTAAGAAATGTCGCTCAGTCAGAACTGGGAAGTGGGGCGATTCCTTTAACTGTGCAGCCGTAGACCACCCCGATTGGAGCGATTAACTTCTCTATTCCACTGCGTCCGCGAGGTAGACGATCTCCTCGATTTTGCGAGTTAGCCAGCGGGTAGGTTGAACACAGAACTTATTCCTTAGCGGGATTGTGACTTGATACCACGACTGTTTTCAAAGGGCAGTTGAACTGTTTTCATTTTTTATAAACATAGTCTGTCATTGCAGGACTGCCGACGCTCAGCTGCGAAATTTCATTTCTCATACGCTGCTTACTGCATGTTTGATGGTCCCCGGTAACTTCGCTAATGACTATAACTGACGCCGGTTGCATACAATCCTGTTTATAAGCCCAACCGTACACCAACAGAATCATCAAAGACTTCGCCCGCGACCCTCAAATACATTCATACACAAAAACGGAGATCATATGGGGCCTCCTGCATATGCCGAATGTACGCAGAATGCGCTAATTATTATTAACTTTTAATCAAAGCGAGCAACAAAATTTTGGCAAGATCTTCTTACATGGTTTGTTAGAGTTTTCTATGACTGTTTTGGATGAAGATAGCCTACCAGTCACACCTTAGCGCTACTTTAGATGTGCTAACGGCATGAAATTTTAAGGAAAATTCTGAAATACGTTTCCGACTTGAAAAGATTACTTAAGTATAGTTGCAATATTAATTACCGTGTATTATAATCCTTAAATACTTCCGCTACTTCGGGATGTCGAGTTTTGAACAGACTCCTTTGCGACTGCCTGAAGAAACAGTACTCTCTATTAATGACTACTGAATAAGTATGGATTTTTCTCATCGATTCTCGATATCTGTATACATTCTATTATATTTCAAAGAATAAGTACATAAAATATTTCTCTATCTGCTTATTTTATAAAAGTGACATCTCAAAATTTTATACTTGAAGGAAGATTATAATTCAGTTTTAAAAATTCGTATAATTCCCGAATAATTTTGAATCCGACCTGCCGTTACATATACGCTCAGGGTTTTCAAAATACAGGCTGTGCACTTTCCGTGTATGGAAAATCACACGTTTCTATACTCTACTAAGAGGAAACCACATGGAGTTGATGAAATTTAACAGTGGATCTGGGCCATTTTGTAAATGCAACAAGTAACATAATAAGATGCAGAGGCACGGTGACTTTTGAAGCGGCACTTCACGGCCTTAAAATTTTACATAATCAGAAGCTTGGAAATACCGAATTATAATCTTCGTTTAAATATCGAATTTGAAGAAGACGTACTTCCTACCAAAAAAGCAAAAGAAGGGATATTTTTAAACATTCATTCTATGAAATATAATTGACTTAATTTGGAATTCGAAAATTAATTAGAAAAGGCCATACTATTTAAGTTCTCATTTCTACAGAGTGCCGTCTTTGTAGGCGGCCGAAAAGAATTTTCTTCAAAAGCCGGCATCCCGAAGTATCTAAAAAATCTTAGGATTATGCTGTACGGTATATGATATTGCAACCTTATGCAGAATGATATTACCGACACAGACAAGGAAGACTGGAATGGCCATTTCTGGCCTATTAGCCGTCGTCAGTCAGTCATAATCAACTTCGAAGTGTGGGACACCCGAGGCTCGAACTCGCGACCTGTTAGTTAGAAGTCAACGCCTCTTACCACTGAGCCACGAGCCCGTTGCCCTGTTGGTTTTCGATCGGGAATATAAAATGGTAGGGGGCGCTCACCGATCGTTCTTACGGATTTCACTCCTTCCGTTGGGCCTTAGGGGCTCTCTCTCGAGCTCAACCAGCAGCCGCACAGGGCAACAGGCTCGTGGCCCAGTGGTTAGAGACGTGCACTTCTAACAGACAGGTCGCGAGTTCGAGCCTCGGGTGTATCAAACTTCGGGGTTGGGTATGACTGGCTGACGACGGCTAATAAGCCAGAAATGGCCATTCTAGTCTCCCATGTCTTTGTTGGTAGTATCATTCTGCCTATATCATGCGCCGCTGTGCGGCTGCTGGTTGGGCTCGAGAGAGAGAGTACATAATGCACAACGGAACGAGTGAGTTCCGTAAGAACTATCGATGAGCGCTCCCTACCTTTGCAACCCTACTTAAGATTTTTTTGAGTCTAACACGAATCATAGAATTTCGTTTAACGTTTCATAAGTTAGCACATCTACTGCACATATTAGATGTCTCCGGACATCGCTGTTGTGGCCATGAATACGCATACTTATATGATTTACTCTTTTTGAAAGCATATGGTTAGGCAAATGCAAAGTGGTTTTTTGCTCCTTGAAGACCAGAGAGCTCTTTGCCTTTTGTAGACGGGCGCGTCCTAACTATTCAAGCCCAGTCTGAGGTTGGCAGGTGGCCATGCGCTAAATTCCAGAGAAATTAGGGTTACGGGCAATGGTAAGACTTGGGTCAGGGTTAGTGTTGGGGTTAGGGTTAAGACACGATATTAGGTACCGTGTCCAGGAAGTTATCGCCAGAGCACCTGAATTACGGGAACGATTCCCATTTCCGTCATTTTATTTTGTCATGATAAAACTATAACTAATCTTGACATTCTGCGGTTTACAAACAGTTTAGATTTTGCTATAGTTTCACCAGGAGTTTGACGTATAACTAGACTTGCGCGGCATCAACGGCACCCTCTCCTCCCCCCACGCCTGATCACAATGTCAAGACAGAGTCAAGATGACCGGAGGCGGGGGGGGACGCAGATGGCTGGCACGGCCGGACCAGACACCTAGGTGTATCACCACACCCTCTGATCCACAACAAACACTTAGTCAGGATTTTAACCAGCAACCACACAACAACGAGTCAGAAAGAGGAGCCTGATTGGGTAGCCATGCTCACTACCTGCGCATCCAATGGGGGCGCAAGCGCATCTACCGGCAGGGAACCAGATGTCCGCAAACTGCTAGCGCACACCAAACTGCGAGAGCCACGGTTTGCTGAATAGGGCCAGACCAAACGCTTACAAACCTTAATGCGTCTAAATAATAGGTCATTCGCCAGCAACGCATTTATGGAGACCGATGAAGGGCATATCGAAAATAAAGAACAGCACTAACCTAAAAAGCCTTTTTCTGATGGATATGCTCCAAGTATGCGCATAAGTTTCCTGGAAAAGGGCACAGGGCAGCACAGGAAAGCCTGGGGTCCACTGATAACCCGACGCCCTGGCGGCTGCGTCGTGCAGGGACATAAGCTCGGTCTTGTCCCTTAAATAGTACTTAAGCTGTCAGTATAACAAACCATTTAGTTTTAATTTAAAGATTCTTTCCATAAGTTGGAAAACTGTCGCATGAAAAGACCAGATAGGGCGGATATTATTCACATGCTGAAACCTCGGCAGTCATCTTCAAAATCAATTGCAAAAAGGGCGGATGTAACTATATGGGAGAAACCGGACGGATATTGTTGACTCGCCTTCAAGAGCACAGATCGTCCACTCGTAGGTTAGAACCTAACTCTCAACTAGCAACACCCGTTAGAGAAATTAGGCATACTTTCGATCTCTAGGGAGTTACCATCTCAGGCCGGGGCAACACAAAAGCAGAACGGCAAACTCATGAAGCGGGGTTCGCCAATTCCCACTCCACCAACAGGCATCGGGACCTGCCTGCAGCTTGCAATGTTATACTTCATTATAATCTTAAAGTTCAAGACCAAACAACCACACCGGACTTATGAAGGCTATACGGAGACAGTCCGACAGCGAGTTTACTCAGTGAAGAAGAACAAGAACCGCCAGACCGGCCACCCGACAAAGGCTCAATCACCTTCCCCCAACGCAGTGGTGACTCACAAAGCACGCAGACAAAACACCTGTCATCCATCCCTTGAGAGGTCTAGGCGGAGAGGGGAGAGAAAAATCGATCAGCACGAGGCCGACCAACGTGACAT